GGCACATGAATTTTCTTGAGGAATCCACAATCGGATCCTTTGGCTAGCCAAAGCCTGACCCGTAAGGCAGCGGGACGGTGTGTGAAAACCTCAACCCATTATGGGCCGGTGTCCAGTTCATCGGACCATACGCCCCTTGGACGCAGTCAAACGTCCAGGATATGTATATGCTACATCAGGAGTTCTGATGCACCCTGTACTGAGTTTCAAATCACCCAAGTCGAGTTCTCAGTTTAACTACTGCAGAAACAGCTAGCAGTTAATCCTCACAGATCATACATGTAGATTTATTTGTATCGGGACCTAAATTCCGGTGCGCAAGTGCATAAGCATGCATTCTCACTCCGACAGGTACAGGCGCGTGTGCATCTAAGCCGGTAGGAGTAAAACGTTCTGCTCGATACAGTCGACCAATACTAAAAGGGGTTGAATGTTGCCTAACGACAAGCACCGAAACATGCCTTCGGGTCCGATGAACGCGGGATGTGTCGCTGAGTATATGCTTTTAGCAAACTCCAATTCAGCGTTCGCGCGCGGTATATCGCCACAAAGCGTTGCAGTTTTCTCGCGAAGTCCAGTGTCATTTCGGGCTCATAGTGGAAAATCAGCATTGTAATTGGTTTGAAAGAACAAGACAGGTGGTTCCAGATGGAGCTAAGAAAACGACTTTGTTCATTAAAATTCCGTTCAAAGGAGATCCAGAAGCTGAAAGGGTTACTAGAATCCTGAGCGCTGCAATTAAAACAACATTGCTGCCAAATTCAGATACGTTTTCTCAACATCACCCGTCATCCGATGTCAGAACAAGGATAAGTTGGCTATGTTCACCTCATCAATGCTCATCTACCAAATCAAGTGCACCTTCAGTGTAGGCCGTACGATAAAGCAGCTATCTAAACCCGTCAAGGAACATCAATTCATATGGCATAGATACGGAGAGATCGCAGTTATTTCCAGTTCTATTGTTGCACACTTGGTAGAAACTGGACATGAGGTGGACGCTAATTCGGGTTTCGCCATCATCTATCGCGTCCCACAACACCAGTCCAAGACTACTCGAATTAAAACAGCCGAGGCAGTTACCATCCGCTTGTTGAAACTAGAATTGTGCTAAAAAACACTTGTTCATGCACTTAAACTTCCCTGGTCTAAAGCGGAAAACATCATGCATGGGTTTTGTGATGACCCAAATCAATTATCAACGCTTACGTAACCCGTTCTTATCTGAACGGGAAACCGGAGACAAACGTGTCCTTACCCCACCCCTTTGCAATAATTATCTGACATCGACTGATTGATCTCAACAAAACACCTTCCAGCTATTTTCTTACATACTAAATGTGATTGTATTGACTTGAGAGGGAACTCATCGAAAACATCTGTTCGCCTACGAGTAGTGTTGCGAATCAGTATCTGTTACGCTTTCAGAACTCAAGATCAGTTTTGATCATGTGCTTTGACGAGCGATACCGAAATAATTTAGAAAAATATTTCAGAAAATGCTAGACTCAGTTGAAGGGATTTGTCAAGTTTTCTGTTTAGTTCTGCTCACAATTTTACCCCCAAGATATACATATTCCCTCTGAAGTGTTTGCCTCATTTCGGCATCTCAGAAATTTCTTTCTGAGGGTTATGCCAGCAAACCAACAGTAGTGACGATCCTACTGTCACTTCTTGGCACACCAGAATGCTTGAACTAGTGCTTATGCACGGTTGGG